GAAATTAAACAACACATTCTTAAATAACCTATGGGTCAAAGATAAAATTCACAAGGGAAATTAAAAAATACTTTGAGATTAACAAAAATGAAAACACCACATAAAATGTATGAGATGCAGCTAAAGAAGTGCTAAGAGGCAAATTTGTTGCTGTAATGCTTATATTATAAAAGAAGAATTATCTCAAAGCCATAAGCTAAACTTTCAGTATAAGAAACAAAAATAGAGCAAACTAAACCCAAAGAAAGCAGAAGAAAATAATATACAGCAGAAACTAGAAGGTAGAAAAACAATAGAGTAACATTTTAATGAACCCAGAAGCTTATTCTTTGAAAAGATCAACAACATTGACAAATATATATAGGTAGCCTACCCATGAAAAAAAGAGGATTTAAATTGCTAACATCAGTAATAAAAGAGAGGGCCTTACTATTCCCTTGCAGAAATAAAAATAATTATAAATGAATACTATCAACAATTGTATGTTAACAAATTAGATCACCTATGTAATTTGAACAAATTTCTAGAAATATAAAAACTATTGAAACTGACTCAAGAAGAAATACAAGGGTGAACAAAAGTAGGTCTACAGTTGTGAGTACGTAAAATACAGTTTATTCTTGTATTATTATTATTGAATTATTTATTTGTATTATAACTGTAAACCTATTTTTTGCTCATCCCTGTATAAAATCTGAATAGACCTATAGCAAGTAAAGTGATTGAATGAGTATTTTTAAAAAAAACTTCCCACAAAGAAAAGCCCAAGACCAGAAATCTTCGCTTGTGAATTCTAAACATTTAAATAATTCTTAATATATATCTTTCTCAAAATATTCAGAAAAAAAGCGTGGGAGGAAACATTCCCCAAACTGCATTCTATGAGGACAATATTACCTTTATAACAAAACCAGACAGAGCTATCACAAAATTAACATCTCTATGAATATCCTTTGTGAATATAGACACAAAAAAACCTTTTTTAAAAAAAGGGCCTATATAATACAACAACATACATAAAGGATTATGCATTATAAACATTTGAGATTTATTTAAGGAATATAAGATTGGTTCAGTAGATGAAAATCAATCTAATACACCATATTAGTGGAATAAAAGAGAAAAGCCACATGATCATCTCAGTAAAAACAGGTAAAACATTTGCCAAAATTCAACGCCATTTTATGATTTAAAAAGAAAACATAATAAGCTAGGCATAAAAGAGAATTTCCTTAATCTGAAAATGAGCATCTATGAAGAACTCATAGCTAAACTAACATACTTGATGGTGAAAAACAAAACTGTTCCCCATATTGGGAAGAAGACAAAAATGTCTATTTTTGCCACTTTTATTTAATTATTAAAGATTTTAGCCAGGGTAATTAGACAAGAAAAAGAAATAAAAAGTATCAAGATTAGAAAGAAATAAGTAAAATGATCTCTGTTTGCAAAAGACCTGAGTTTGTAAATAGTAAATCCTAAAGAATTTACAAAAGAAAAATGACTAGAACCTAAAAAGCAAATTCAGCAAGGCTGTAGAATTAAAGTTAAATATACAAGATCAATTGTATTTTTGTACTAGTAATGGACAGTATGAAAATGAAATTAATTCACTTACAATAGTGTCAGAAATACCAAAATACTTAAGAATACATTTAATAAAATTAGGTCAAGACATTCGCATTGAAAACTACAAAACATTGTTGAAAGAAACAAGTGGAAAGTTATTACATGGTCATGGGTTAAACACTTAATGTTAGTGGCATGGGCTCCAAAGTGATCTTAAGTTTCAACACGTTCACTATCAAAATCCCAGCAGGCTCCCCCCTCCCCCCAAAATGGACAAGCCAATCCTGAAATTCATGTGTAACTGCAAAGGACCTAGAATAGCCACCGTGAAGCACCTAGTTTCATCTGATACACTTCATAAGGATTGAGAAAATTGAAATTGTCTTTTTTAATATAATGTGGCTTTTTTAAAAATTATTTTTATTATTTTTATTTATTTATTTTTTTTATCCTCACTGGAGGACATTTTTCCATTTTTTGTTCAGGTAAAGTGGGAGGGAGAGAGGGGAACAGAGAGAGAGAGAGAAACATCAACGCGAAAGGGACACATCGAGTGGCTGCCACCCGCACGACCGACCAGGGCCCGGGACAAACTGCAACCGAGGCACACGCCCTTAGCGGGAACCAAACCCGGGTCCCTCTGGACCGCAGGCCGACGCTCTAACCAGTGAGCCAAACCGGCCAGGGCTCTATTAAATTTTTTTTTGTTACAGATGTTTCTCCTTTTTCCCCCATTAACACCTTCCTCCTCATCCGCCCCTGCCCCATCCCCAGCTCTGTTGTCTATGTCCATTGGTTATGCATACATGCATATAAATTCTGTGGTTTATCTCTTCCCCCCAACACCCCCTCTCCTGAGGTTTGTCAGTCTATACCCTACCTCTATGTCTGTTGTGACACAGCCTTTTTCAACACAGTGTTTTGAGGCAATTTTTCATTGAAGTTCTTTTCTGTGCTTTGAAGGAATTTTCATCAGAATTCAGAACTGCAGATTTAACTCTTCAAATTATGGGAAATATCTACCAAATAAGTTAGTTGGTTAAGCCAGTTCATCCATCTTACATGTGATTCTGCTCTTTTGGCTGATGGAAGAGGCAAGGTTTTAAATTACAGGTATTTAGCACTTTTACTGTAATTAATTAGATAGCATGGGATGGACACATTGTTTCATTTTACAAATTTAGAAGGGCAGGTGTGAAAGGGGAAGTTACAAGCGATGTTTTTAAGACACAGGTGTATCTGTTCTCAGGCCGATCTGTTTTTGAAGTTAAGGTTCTGTATACATACTCCCTTAAAACCATCCATGGCTTTGCATTTTTTTTCATCTTGTATCTTCAGGAATGTGCTGCCCCAGCTTGAGGACTACTCTTCTACCCTACTCTTAGTCTTTAATGGATAAAATAGCCTTGCCGAGCATAGGTTTTAATTGTATGCATATCATGTGCAGGGGTGCTATTATGTTGGTACCCTCAGGTTCAATGGGACCACATTTTGGTAGAGAGCCCATGCTTGTGCTGCTTTTTGTATTATATGTCCCTCTCCTGCACTCATGACAGATTTCTCTTGGTGTCCAGGTGCAAACTCCAAATCCTCCACAACTGGCCACTTTTGTTGGCTAATTGGAGCTGGCATAGGAGGTGATTTTCTCTGTTGTAGTGGTTTTATTAGTTTTCTCAGTCAGCTTATTTGTTTCTTTTCTCTTTTTGTAGTTTAGATTTTCTAATAACATGTTTATTGTGATTTTGTTGTTGTTGTTAAAGTTATCTTTAAATCAGTTTGCAAATGTGTTTGGAGACAATTCTCCATGGGGCTCTTTCTTTTCATTTTGTGAACAGGGGCTTTGGTTGCCTTTGTCCTGATCTGTTTTTTCAAGATTATTTCTATAGTGAGCCGCTATGGAAGATACAGTGATTCAGAACCATTGGGTAGGTTTGCTTGTAGCTTTGAAAGAAAAGCGCTGGTTTCTCCCTTTAGAGCAAAGGGATAGACATGCTTAATGCCCATTACAAGGATTTGGGTTCCCAAAGCTCAGGCATCCTGTCCTGTATCTCTCTCATTGCTTGTGCATGAGTCAGCCAGCCTTCCTGAAGAAAATGCTGATATTCTCGCTACTCCTGTTGTAATAAATTCGTGTGCCTCTGACCCAGGAGTCTTACTTTTTTTTTGCCAGCATTCATGAGATTGTGACAGGCTAATTTTTTAGCTTGAAAATAGGATAAAATCTCAGATCCTTGCCCGGCTGGTATGGCTCAGTGGTTGAGCGTTGACCCATGCACTTAGAGGTGACTGGTCTGATTCCCTGTCAGGGCACATGCCCAGGTGATAAGCCCAATCCCCAGTTTGGGGACATGCAGGATGTGGCCAATCAATGTTTCTATCTTTCTCTCCTCACCCTTCCTCTCTCTCTAAAAATAATAAATAATTTTTTTTTTTTTTTTTTTTGTGGTACATGCTCCAAGCGGGAACCGAACCCAGGACTCTCTGGTCCGCAAGCTGACGCTCAACCTCTGAGCCAAACTGGCCAGGGCAAAAAAATTTTTTTTAAACCTCAGATCCTTCACAGTTCTTGACAATATGTAGGAAATACAAATAAAAAAGCAAATAAAGCCCTGGCCGGTTTTGCTCAGTGGTTAGAGCGTTGGTCTGCAGTTCAGAGATACCCAGGTTCAGTTCCCGCTAAGGGCATGTAACTCAGTTGTAGTTTGTCCCTGGTCCTGCTTGGGTCGTGCGGGTGGCAGCCACTTGATGTGTCCCTTTTACGTTGATGTTTCTCTCTCTCTCTCTCTCTCTCTCTCTCTTCCCCTCCCTCCCACTCTATCTGAACAAAAACAACAACAAAAAAGCAAATAAATAGCTATCAGAGTTCTGCTCAGAAATGTTATTTTTGCCCTGGCCAGTGTGACTTAGTTGGTTGAGCATCGTCCCATGTACCAAAAGGTCTCAGGTTCGATTCCAGGTCAGGGCACATGCCTGGGTTGCAGGCTCAATCCCTGATACTTCCTTTGTGTAGGAGGAAGCTGATTAATGTTTCTCTCTCTCTCTCTCTCCCTCTCTCCTTCTCCCTCTCTCTCTACAATCAATAAAAACATATTTTTAAATGTCATTTTTATCCATGTTTTTCATTAAAACTACATTATATATTATTTATATAAATGTAGCATGAATGTTTTTCTTAGGTTAAAATAAAGGTTTGTCATGATTTTATTTATTTTAATGACAATTTTAAAAGCATAAAAATCATCTTTTTTTATGCATATAAATTTGTATTGTGTATATATATATATACACACACACACACACATGTATTGAGGTATACGTGTGTATTCATGTTTTGAAAAACCAAATTAATTTTTCATTGCTTAATCACATTTTTAAGAATTAATCTTGATTTTATGTATGTCATTATGATGTATTATTTGCTTCTATTCTAGAATATTGGAAAGAAGATGACCTGCCAAGAGTTCATTGCAAACCTCCAAGGCGTCAATGAGGGTGGTGATTTCTCCAAGGATCTACTGAAAGTAAGCCTTGAAATATTGGGTTTTAAATTTAACTAATGTTTATATTTTCTTATGTATATATATTCTCCAAAATAGACAGGCTAAGGATCACAAAAATATTTTGTTTTTTCTTTTGGTTTTACTATTGATGTTTCCACTGGGCCTTGTTCTTAATGCATCAGACTGCAAAGACCCTTCAATTAATAATTCCTAAAAGTCCACACTATAATTATTTATTATAATCAATAATAGAGAGATAATAAGTATTATTTGGAATAATTGGTAATACAAATAGTTTGTGGGCCGTTTTTTGACTTATTGGTAAGCAGACTGTCAGAACTAGAGGGAGGTAACAAAGATATATTCTCTAGGGAAACAAAAGGCATTTGCAGACTATATTGGAAGCAGTTCAGACTATATTCAGTTCCTGGTCACAGAGCCACTCAGGTTGTCTCTGGAAAGAGATTAAATTAAGTCTGAGTAATTCAGAATGCCTGAATTATTTGCACTTGGCTTTTTTATTGATAACAGTTAGATGTTTTCCCTTATCAGATTGTTTTCAAGGAGACCATTTGAAATTCATAACATTCTGCAGCAGCATAAATGAGATGTGCGCTTGATCAAATACAACATAGTGATTAATAATGGATGTGACTATTTTAGAAGTTCAGGATAAGATGTGTATGTTGGGAATTGGATTTTTACAAAATTCTCTTTGTTTCTAGCCTTCTTTTTAAAAACTTTGCACACGTGTAGATTTCTTTTGAAATCAGTTTCTTTGAATGAATTTGCTAAGAAGGGTGACACATTTATTTGAATCATGCATAATATGGAAATATACCAGTTAAAAAATAAGTCCTTTTGTTATGTTTTATGTGACTTTTAAACTATATAAAATATATAGAATAGAGGTCTACAAGAGTTGCAAAAACATATATACTGTGGAAAATGAAAAAAGTTATAAAAATATGGTACAATGAGATTGTTAGTCTTTCTGACTTAATTGCAGCTTGTTAAAAATTACATTATGAAAAAATAAAACTGGAAAAAATGCTTCAGTTTACTATATAAGGAAGGTATTTTTATTGAGGTATAATAGACATACAACATTGTATTTGTTTTAGGTGGACAACATAATGATTCTCTATTTGTATGTATTGCAAAATGATCACAATAAGTCTAATTAAACATCTGTCACCGTTAAACATAGTTACAGAATTATATTTTCCTATAAACTTTTGAGAGATACTTTCTCAGCAACTTTTAAATATACAATACAGTGTTATTAACTCTGCTCGCCATGCTGGACATTACATCGCCATGACTTATTTTATAACTGGAAGTTTGTGCCTTTCACTCCCTTTACCCGTTTGTTTCTTTATAGAGCAAATGCTCCCATTTCTGAAGCTACAATTCCAAATGCGAATGGGAAGTAAAAGGTGGTGGATTGTGACATGATAAATATCTTCTGCACATTCATTGATGCTGTACTGTAGATACAGGTTAACAAGTCTGTTTTCAGCCTAGCCCTACTAGCATAGAAAATACTGTAGGTTCTAAGAGAGTATGTGTGGGGCTTTTGTCCAGGTGTGTCAGAAATGAAAATTGACAGGAACATTTTTCATGGTGAAGCTTTTAGATTTTAGTGGTAGGCTTATAGTAACGTGTGACTGAGGGTAAATTATCACATGGCGTTAGAGCATGTTGGGTGGAGCTGTCTGAAAGCAAATGTAGTCACCTCCAGTCCAGTGGCTGCCGTTCACCTTGGGTAAACATATGTTCTTTGATTTACTCCGCCAAGAATTTGCTGGTTGATTTGTTGCAGTTGTACAACTGAGATCGTGTTCACAAACCTCAGGGAGAAAATATGTGTTATACTGTTCTTTATTTACTGTGGGAAGATGACAGTGAAATGGCACTGAAAATTGACAGCCGTGTTTAGCATGGAAATTGTCAAGTAAGATATCGATTTCCTTTCGTAGCAAAGCCCAGCCACTCACTGACCCAGATGAGTTTTTCATTTTAGTAGGAATCTGGATTTTACTACAGATTTCATCAACAAAAGGTTTTCTTCAAACCATTTTTGTTTTATTTCACTCTTCTATGTGGCTATTTTTCTCTCCCCTTCTCTCCTCCTTTTCCCTCATCCCCTCCCTTTCTCCCTCTGTTTCTCCGTATTTTTCTCCTTTCCCTTATGTTTTCTTTGTTTTTTTTTTTTTTTTATTTCTCTCTCTCTTGATAGCTATCTCTTGATTCCCGGCTGAAATTAATTGTGTGGAATATCAGTTTGAGTTTGGGGGGAATACATATATGCGTACAGATGAACACAAATATGGTACCATTGCACAGGTTTTGGGCCACCCTTTCTTCCTCCACCTGCTTCCAACTTAAAAAATTACATACATGTACATTAGTTCCATTTATGAGGTAAGACATTGATGTTGCACTGGTTGAACTGAGGCTTTATTGTTATATATTGACTTTATTTAGATTTCCTTGCATCAGAAGTAACATTTGTACTTATGTCTGTTGTCCAGATTTCTTTGGACTGGAAGTAACATTTCAGCTTATGTCTGTTGTTCATTGTTGTGTGGCCGGTGATATTTATTAAAGGTCCACTATGTTCACTAGGCGTTTTGGACTTGGAAAGCATGCTGGAACCAAATAGGTTCCTGTCCTCAGAGATCACAAACTACTGAGAAAGGTGGAGGGTTCTTTCTCCCTTAAAATAAAGTTACTCCATATGGAAATGAAAGTATAAATTCTGCTTGTTCTCAACAGAAATGGTTATGAAAAAAGACCTTAACATACTTAAATGTATAAAAAATGAGAAACTTGTTTAAACCTTTAATTCAGAGACTTTAGTTAATATTTTTCTTTAAAAATGTCTTAGACTACATTGAAGGGATCGATTATTTGAGCTCTTTTTTACAATTTAAAATTCCACCGCAGTTTCCCCTTTCACTCAAATGACCTAAAGAGATACACAAGTGCTTTGTGCAATATCTCTACTATAGATATCTATAGCTTACACTTTGTTTAAAGTTAGAGATAGCTATAGTATAAAGTAGAATAAGTTAGATACCAAAGGACAACCATTGATGGGATATTATTTAGGTTCTTTAAAGCTAAAGGATGTGGTGTTTGATATAGACATTTTTTTAAAAACAAAAATTATATATTGACAAATTAATAAAATATCCAAATAAATCTCTTATGTGAATTTTTGGGTGCATGCACGCGTGTGCGCGCGCGCGCACATACACACACACACACACACACACTAGTTCAGTAGCAGTCCCCATGTTCTTAAAACTTCTTTCCCTTTTATTTCTTTTTATTCTAAAATTTTTTTAATTGAATTTATTGGGGTGACATAGGTTCACAAAGTATAGGTACAATTTCAGTATGACTTATTTTGATTTATTCATTTCATCTCCAACCCATAAACATGAATATTATCTCCTTCTCCTAAATCCCCCTCCCTTTGACCGCACCACATCAGGACAGTAACTCGTTCAATAAAATATGGCTAAACATCCAGTCTGTCTCATGGCTCTATAGGTCCTTCCCATCCCAACACTTCAGTGTAGTTTGCCTTCAAGCATCACTGGGGACAAGGTGGAGGAAAAAGGGAAAGGGGAGATTCTGTGTTTGGTTATAATAGATTTAATACGACTCTCTAATAAATAGTAAAACTCTTAAGGATGTGAATATAGAGGGATGAGAAAGTAAAGTGTGGGCCAGTTCTGGATTGGAGGCTGAACTTTCCAAAAGATGGATGATTATGGTTATGGATTTGGAAGCTATACTGATTGGATTCTAATCCCAGCTCCCCTCTCTTATTTGCTGAGGGATGTGAGCAAATTTATTTAAATTTTGTCTCTTGATTTCCTCATCTGTGAAATGGGAGATTTTATTAGTCCTCACCCCATCTAGTTGTTTTAATAATTATAACTTTTTATTTAATACTGTTTTATCCTTTGAGCTCAAATTGGATTAGAAAGGGACTCCATCCCTTCCTGAAGGTGTTGGACCCTAAGATGTTTTACAACTCCTAGGGTCAAGTGTGATTAGTGTCAGTAGACAAGACCTCTGTTTCCCATCCCTATTTAGTCTAAACATACACATTCTCTTGCTCTTTAAAACGAACCATCTGAGATCTTAACCTTGAGTATTTCCTCCTTTTGTAGTAAGATTTTTAATCCTCATTATTTATGGCTTCCTTTTTTTTTTTCCCAAAGACTAGTTGGTTCCAAAGAATAACCATAAGAATCCTCCACAAGAGGCACGTGTTTTATCAAGTCTGTCTTAACATTGTATAGGCACCTTAATTGAACCTTGGTGACCCCTGTATTTTCCTTGCCATTTACCTTTTTAACAATAGTCTCTCCTAGGCCTATTTTTCTTGCTATGTTTTTCTCTCTTGTTTTTTGTTCGGGTACTTGATGCTACCAAAGTAGAGGTACTAAGGACAGTTTGGTTTTAAACTAGTCTTGGACTCTTTGAAGAACCTTTGAGGAAGCAGATTGGTTCTAATACAGTGATACCTCGGTTCTCGAACATAATTCGTTCCAGGAGGACGGTCGAGAACCAAATTGTTCGAGAACCGAAGCAATGAAACCCAATAGGAAATAATGGAAACTGGATTAATTCGTTCCAAGCCCCAGAAAATGCCTATTTACTGGCCTAATTTGTATATAATATGTAGAAAAACATAAGTCTCAACAAGAAATAAAAGTGTACAGTATGTCTAAGGGTTAAATTCAGTGTAAAGCGTGACTCTCTCCACAAAGCGTGACTCTCTCCACAAAGCGTGACTCTCTCTCTGCACTCACACTGATGACACAAGCAAGGCGCGCTGGGCCGAATGAACACCATTCGGCTCAACTCGGCTCATCTCAGAAGTTCGAGTTCCAAATATTTGTTCGGATTCCAAGGCAAAAGTTTCTCGAATCTCCTGGTCGAATACCGATTTGGTCGAAATTCGAGGCATTCAAGAACCGAGGTATCACTGTACT